AAAAATTATTATTTTTTAAATTTTATTAATCAAAATAATATAATATTTGGAGTCCAAATCGAACCTTGACGAGTTATTATAATTACGTTTTTTTACGTCAAAATTATAAGCTACCCTGAACTTGAATAAATTACACCATTAAGGCGTCAACTTTATGTGTCTATATATTATGATATGAGTTTCATGTATTTATAATATTATAATTAATTATTTTTTATAGTAGGTACCTATAGGTACTTATATAGTTATATAACATTGATTTGTCTCTGACATATTAACTAGGTATGATTTATTTCGTAACAATAACTGGACAGGTAACATCATTTATACCAAATAAAAAGCCGTGTTCGTTTTTTTCTCCTTGAGGCTTTTATAGAAATAATTAAATACATACCTCGAATGTTTATCGTATTTGTACACCAAGGAAGTCATCGGCTACACTTTGTGGTTTCGTCTCCAACTCGTGTTACCTATAAGTACTTTACATTTTACAAAATCGCTGACCGATTAATTAGATTTTTTGGTCTTATAATAATATGCAATTACATTATAATGTTTTTTTTTTCTCAAACGGAATACTATTTTGTAATAATAATATAGTAAAACGCATTAATATTATTTTACATATCGAATAGATACATGGCCAGCTCTAGTTACAACGATTTTGAACTTTTAATAATTACGTTTTCAGTTTCTAGAAGTGTTTCATGATTAAGATATAACACAAAACATCATATTATAAATTTTTTTTACATTGTACGATACATTTATTTTCAAACCGGTAATAATGGTTACGTCGTTGTTAATTAATTAAATCGAGTACAACTAGGTTACTGCAGTTATGATAACACGGTTACCAGAGCTTTTCACAGTTTTTGTGATGTTATAAAAAAAATAATAATCTCATTATGTAATTTTCCGTAAAACGTAAACGCGTAATTATTTCAACTGTTTTCAGGTTTTTTTTAAAAAACGTATTCTATTACATTCGGTTACGAAGTATATATGAGTATTATATACTGACAAACAAATACAAATGGGATTCTGTACGAAACAAATATATACCTACCTACCGATTGGCGATTGCGTGTACCAGCTGTATATAGATTCCGGTCGAGAACGGATATTTTCGAAAAGCAATAGCTGTTGGATAATAATACACGACGTATACATACCTATACACGTTGTATTGTGTTGCGTATGAAGAGTAATTTAACTGGAGCCATGGTTTTGCACCCGTGAAAAGCGGTCCTGGAAACGGCACACCTATACATGCGCCCAGGAAAACGCACCGAGGAAACGACTGCAATCCATTACGCGGAAAACCCTCCGTGTGTCTGTGCTGCTGTGTAGTTCGAAACCCGGAGAAAAATTATTTACCGACGATTTAGTGATTTAGGAGAAAAATTATATTTAACGCGTGGTCGTTACCTGCATACTATATACTATATACCTATATACATGTGCGGTTGCGATGGTTGTTTGGACGGAAAACAGTTTTTACGATTGTACATATTAATATTATGGTGTAATACACCTAATACCTACCTATAGAGTATAGGTTATAGGTTGGATGGATTAAACCTATACGAAGGGTTTAGAGATACAATATATACTTTTTAATTTTAATTTTTATAAAACCGTATACACATTATATATATATATATATAGGCGCTTGATGATTATTTTAACAGTAAACACTCATTATCTCAACAAGTACCACCTACATAAACCTACGTTTAAAAAAAAAAAAATGTTCGTTCCTTGAAGTCATAACTAAACAAAACTTTTGAAAAAAAACTGCGTAATTCCATAATATATTATAATATTATATTCCGAAGCAGAAGATTTTTCTGAAAATTATGATATAATAAAATCGAATTTCTAACGAGTTGTAATAAGTACTTAGTATTTAAAGTTATAATGTGTGGAGTGGATTGGCAAAGTTCTACCTCGTAAAACGTTGGTCCGCTACTTCGCTCATCAAAACTTTAAATGCTTATTAGGTATGACTAATTACCTACTCGTTAAAAACTCGATTTTTATGTATTTCAATTCTCAGAAAAATATTCTGCTTCGAAAAATAAATTTCAAAATGTATATATTCGTTTGAAAAACTAAAAAGTTATAGAAAAAACGACAACGTCTAAAATTAGTAAAAAATCATTATAACGATTTAAAACAATTTTCTTTTAATAACTTTAATTTATGCAAAAAAATTATTTCCAAAAACGTTAATATTAAATTAGGGTTTAACGTTGGAATTTTATCCTGTATAGATGTGTGTGAGAATCTGGTAAATGTTCACGTTTCGATGATTCATTCGAAAAGTTGAATGCGAACAGACTTTTCCGAAGCAAAACTTTCTGTTTTTAATGGAAATCCTTATTTCACATTTCGTTATTTCGATGCTTTTTGTTTTTTTCTGTAATAAATCGTTACATCTAAAATGCCATTCATTTTTACAACAATATTCGTATAGTACAGCTAAAAGTGTTTAATTCTAAAAAGTAACTAAACTGTATAAATGTGATCCTCAGCTTCGTTTAGAATCTTAAATAATCATATTGTCTTCATTAAAGTTTCAACAAATATTATAATCGAAAGTAAAAACTAAAATACGTTCCAAAAGAAATTATATTAAAATAATATGCACAAATATAATAAAAATTAAAAGGAAACAAGATAGAAAAGTCCACTCTGCTAGAGTGCTGAATATACGATATTTAAACGTATTGTAGGTACTACAATGCAATAAACTAGGTATATCTAATAACATATGAATATGGTAGGTAACCTTTATAATTTAAAATAGTGGCTGAAGTGGTTGGTATAAATTTTCTTTTAATAGAACAGTTGTAAAATGCAGTGATGTATTTTTCTTGGATGGAGGCGGCTGATAATGTGATTTCACTGCAGAGTTTGTTTAACTAGTATCTCCCATAAGTGTAGCATACTGATACTGAAGTTTTATTTTAGATTTTGGTTTCTGTACGGCTATAGATACAAATTCGTATTTGCAGTAACTCACATAGACCATAGAAATAATTTTGAATCGTCTGAATTTTTTTTTTTTTAGTGGGGGAGTTATAATCGTAACTATTCACTGTAACTAGTCTATCAACTATTTATAAAGACCTTAATATCAACAACCGTAAATCTTTACTGGTAACTAACGAATTGACACAACAGTGATACACCTAAGGTGTTATATAAACACTTATATGTTTAGAAACCAAAAACTTGGTAGGTAATTAATATAAATCACATACTTTAACTTCTATTATTTTGTGTCTTAAAATTTTCTCTGTTGATTTATTTACATTTCTGAAGCAAAGTGACTAAACTTAATAAACTGTACTTCTGGGTTCGTGTATAACTTCAGCCGAACCGAACACTATTTAATCAAGGATTAAATATTTAAATATCTACAAATTATTCACTGATAATATATATTAATATTGTATATACACTTTAAATAGTAATAAAAAAATATGTATTTACACACATGGCCTAGCTTACCTTTCTAAAAAATATTACCTAATTCATTTTATTTTAGTTAATCTGCAAAATCGCAGAAATTGTAAAGAAGTTGTTATTATTCATTTTATCGTTCATTATTTTAAATTGTTATCTAATGATATGTATAGGAAATAATAAATCGAAGGATTACGTTACTTATATAATTATTTATGTACTAAAATTAACTAAATATTAAAATAGCATTACGTTAGGAAAATAATGTATACACGATATTTAATAAATTCTTATAAAAAAACAGGTATACAAATTACTAACGTAGGTGAATTAATTATAATCATAATATTATAATGAGTAAGTAATTTGTAAGTTTGACACTTTACATAATATTTCTGGCCAACGAAGTAGTAAAATGTAGTGTAATTATTCTTTACGTTGAGTACAATCAACTGATAATATGTTTGCATTTGTATTAGACCTAATGTAATTTTCTTACGTTATTGAGTTTTTAATTAAATTGACATAATTTACAAAAAAAGATAAAATACCGCTGTAATGTATACATTTTGTCTTCAGCAGCATAAGTCATTCAATTTTATGATTATTGGCAGCTGATAGAAAAAGTGTACCATAATATAAGCAAGGTATTTTTTTCAATGGATAAGGTCAATGTACTTACCTAAATAATATTATATTAACTAGAGTGAAAATTGATAATAAGTTAGTTCGTTTCACGCATTTCCGATTTCTTATTTGTAATTGTAGTATTACACATAATATATGGGCGAATTGTAAATATCTTGATACTATTTGACAACTTTAGTACCTATACCTATTAATGCTACCCCAGACCTATTATAAAAATAAAAAAACATTAATGCTACTCCAGACCCATCATAAAAATAAAAAAACGCATTTTCACTTATCTATAACGAATAGGTTGGTCCTATTAGTGATGCCATTTCGATAAATTATTATAATATAATATGTAGAACTATAGTTGAATAAAAACATAAAACATTATGTATACATTTTTTTTATTAAAAGTATAATATAATATAGAATAGGGTATAAAAAATATAAAATATAATAATATATTATTATATATGTTTTTTCACATGTACAAAGATAATATAATATTTGTAAAAAGAATAGTACATATTATTAACAAAGAAGTATTTAAAAAAAAGTACAAACACAAAATATTACTTTCATAATATTTTTGTCATGCAAATATTGTACTATTATCACATAAGTATACTAAATAGTAAATACCTTGTTTAGTATAATAATATTGCGACCACACAACTTACGAGATCTTTTCACTTTTTAAGAAGAAAATATTCTACAAATTATTCTCATACTCTTCGATCACAAAATAATGTAAAATAAAAATAAAAATAAAATTCTTTACATAATTACATCGTGTAAGTATGATATAGGTACCATACTTGTGCACGTAACATACGTAAACCGGTAACTTTGGGCTCGAGTGTGACTAGATTGAGACGTGAGTTGAATTAATATCCGCTGCTACCGTGATGGTAATCGTGTTCTCCGTGGTGTTCCTGGTGTTCGTAGTGGTGTTCAGGCTGGTAAGTCTTGACTGGGTACGGTACTTTTACTTCAACTTTTACGGGGACTTTGACTGGATACGGGATTTCCTTGACCACTGGATACGGCACTTGCTTCTCGACAGGATACGGGATATTCTTCACCACTTGTACGGGGTACGGGCGGTCAACGGGAACCTTAACAGGGTAGTGGACTGGCTTCTCGACCGGGTATGGTACGATCTTCTCGACTGGTACGTGCACTGGGTATGGACGGTCGACTGGCACCTTGACAGGGTAGTGCACAGCCTTCTCAACTGGGTAAGGCACTCGCTTCTCGACGTACACGGGGTACGGTTTGTCTACGTGCACTGGGTACGGACGATCTACCGGAACCTTGTAGGGTACGTGTATTTCCTTGACCACGGGGTATGGATGGGGCACTGGAACTTTGACGGGGTACGGTTTTTCCACGTGCACTGCGTACGGCTTGGGTACTTCCACGGTGTACGGCTTGTCAACGGGAACGGCCACTTTGACCGGGTATGGGTATGGTTTGGCTACTTCCACGGGGTACGGTTGTGGTACATTTTTGGTTATGGTCTTGACGGGTACGTGGTGGTACGATGATTGTTGGTGACCACCGTATGATCCACTGTAACCTCCACCGATGTTTCCTGAACTATAGTCACCGTGTCCGGCACCGAAGTCTCCTTGTCCGTAGCCACCGCTCACGATTTCAGAGCTGCCATGTCCGTAACCGGCACTTGCGAATTCAGAGCCACCGTGTCCGTAGCCACTGCTTGCGAATACAGAGCCACCGTGTCCGTAGCCACTGCTCGAGATTTCGGAGCCGCCGCCGTATCCGTAGTTGAATTCGGATACGCTTCTCTTGGACTGGTTGTCGTCCGATTTTGCTTTCTTGGCCGACTCTTCTGCGGCCAAGGTGTAGGCGCACAGCGCGAATGCGCACGCCGAAAACAATATTACTTTCATCTTGTGTGTTGTAGTAGTCGTCGAACCTGCAGCAGACTGAACTGAATGTGAATGGTGCTGAATTGTCTGCGTCAGGCACTTTTGTAGTGAACCGTCGATGCTCCTTCCGGGTGTGCCCAAACCGGGTTATCACTCCCACCTGTCGAATGTCCGCAGTGTTACGTATTTTAACTATTAAAATATCATCCTCATAACACACATTTCCACGCTGAGGCTAAAAGTTGTTTTATTCTATCAATGTATAGCCACACACCGTCGGGGCGATTCTGTCTTATGCACGTTATGATATTCGTGATGTGTTATTATTCAATCGCATCGATTTCAACTCGTTTGAATTATATATAAGTATTTAATTCAAATTAACCTTTATTTTCTCATGAAAATAGTTATTTAGAACTTTAGTCAAAACATTAACACCAGCTGTAATAATCGAGAAAATTTTCTGGTAAAATTTAAACAACTATTATTTTAAAATCGTTAGCGTATTGAAATGAAAAACGTTGGTTAGATATAATAAGTGTATTTATTTTGTTTAGTAAAATAATGAATTACACGTAAAACCTTATATAGTTATAAATTATGCTCAATTTATACAGTAAGCACTCAAAAATATTATACGAAACATATTAATATGCTAATATTCTTATTATTTAGTTTTAAATTAGGGGTATAATATTTTCTTTTTTTTATCTATTATTATTTATACAACATATTATACAATTTCTGTAAGTATATATTATTATTGTATATGCCAATTGTCAAGTGTGGGCAAGTTAATGAGTTTCTTAAACTCAGTTAAGTTAAGTTAAGTTAATATGGACCAATAACAAAAAGTTAAAAGTTAAAAGTTAATTTAACATAGGTTAACTCAGTTAAGTTAAAAGTTATTACACACTTTTTGTTAACTATTTATGAGGTTAAAAAAAAGTTAATTTGTTTATAGAACGCTTCTTCATTTTTTTTCAACCCAAAACTAAATGATAGATTAAAGGGCTTATACTTCATACAGTATTTCTATATAAGTTAGATTCGAATGTTATACATTTTTAATTTCAAATTCACGGTAAATATTTTTTGACATGAAAACGAAATAGACTGAAATATAATAAAATTAAAAACAATAAATTAACTTAACTTACTTCTTAAAATGAAAAATTAATTCGATAATTACACGTTAATTAAAAAAGATATTTAGTAAGTTAACAGTTAAGTTAATAAAAAGCCAAAAGTAACTAGTTAAGTTAAAAAGTTCAAATTAAATTAACTTTTTAACTTGTTAATGCCCAGCCTTGCCAATTGCTATTTTTGCTTAATATTATGATATTTTTTATACAGTTTGACTTTTTTCAAACTCCAGTCAGTTCACATTACGGACTTGACTTCACATTACATTATATTGCTTGATTCTATTACAATTGTTTTCCAATATTATATTAACATGTTACGTATATCCTTTTTATTAAATAACACAATAGTATTAATTCCCACGTATAACGCTAGATTAGTGTTAATATAAATATATAATAAATCAATTTTTTTTTTTTTGTTGTTGTAGGCATCAGGCAAACGCTTTCTTAGGGTTTTACAAATAATATTATTTTAATATTTGATATTTCATTATTATAGTATTGTGATTTTAATGCATTTTTATTATTTATTTCCGGTTTAAAAATAAATGGAATGAATTATTTACAGTAAAACATTATTAAGACTAATGTTTAACTTTTTAATATTCTTTTCGAATATCAATGAGATTTAAACTGGTTTATTCTTAAGACTATTAATGTTTCAGATTAGATTTGTGAATGGCCAAAAAATAATTATTGTAAATAAATGTTAAATCCTCAACAGTTTTCTAAATTTAATATTGAATTTTACTAATAAAAATTTCTTATATTCATTACTTATAATGTCAATATTGAGTGTTTTCCAATATCTCTTAATATTCATTATGGTTTTAAAAAAATGAATTAATAAGGTTTTTATCTATTCATTTTAATGCATTTCTTCTGTACTTAAATTGTTCGTATAAATATATATATATAGGTGCTGTCACTGTTTTAACAGCATTCGTACTATATTGATAATACCGTTGTAGTTTATCCGAAAGTCTGAAACACGTAACGGTTTCACTTTAAAGTCGTCTGGCTAGTGGCTATATATTTTATAACATAATATATAGATACAAGATATAGGTACCAGTGTACCATTAGGGTTTAAGGCAGAACAGAATTTGGGATTTGCGTCGGAAAATATAGTGTGAATATACTATACCACCGCACTCAGGATTAGGAATGGTCTCCATTTTTCTTTCCGTGGACCTGTGATGTAGTAGGTAGTCGATGTGCGTTTGAAAACTTTTTTGGATTAAAGTTTCGATTTCGATTAAGCTCTGGTGTATATAATATAATATATCTGGAAGCTCGGCCGTCTGTGCACATAATAATATGGTAGTTCTATTTCCGTACATTTTTTTTTTTGTAGATAAATCTGATGTGACTATTATAATATAAGTGTTGTGAGAAAATGCATACATAGTGGTGATTATGGAGGCATAACGCATTTCACAGATATAGATTAGGTTTAATATTTTGTTTTAATTATCGCCCTGTAGACTCGATGTCATTTATTTACGATATCGGGAAAAACAATAACGAGACGATATAATATGAACGACGTCTTAATCGGGTCACAGATTGCCGTCGGTTTGATGCATATTTTATGTTTCATCTCGACTACATAATTGTACAATATAATATAATTTTGTCTGTACGCTGCAGTGGACGTCTACATTATAAAATACACTCATATTATTGCATGTGTATCGTACAAATTACGAACTGCAGCAGCAGAGTGTGGCGTGTGCAGCTATCGTCTCGCTCCGGTCGCCCCGACGCAACCCGATGTGGTGTTGTTGTTAATTTAATTTTGAAAGCATCGATAAAATATCATTTAAGACGGTTGCACATTTACTGTATAGTGTGTCTACTTGGGCACGTATTAGTTTTTTTTTTTAATTGCTTACCTACGTATACAGCTGTAATGTTTTGTGTAATATAGTTTTAGTTAAGACAATTACCTAATAGACGTGAATATTTTCTTTAATGTGTTGAATATAATATTATCATAGTATCAGTAGACATTAAATTAATTTTAACAATATAACGTTTTGATAATATCCTAATTATAAATTCTGTACAAGTGGGAATCTAAAAGAACGCACCTATACAATTTAAAACTAATTCATTTCACTTTTAATACAATTTAAAATCAAAAAAAAGTTTTAAAAAAAACTATTTATGTTGGTTTTTGAAATACTTTATGAAATATAAGTTTTATATAGATTGAATCCCATAAAATATTTAAAAAATACAAAAATGAAATAACTTTCATAATATTAATGATACAGAATATCATCAAAGAAACTAATGTTTTCTCAATACAAAATAAATTCTCATAATTTCATATACGAATCGTCATGATCAAATTTGTCAAAATTGTCATCCCATGTTAAAAAAAAAAATTACTTACACTTTTGACTACCTACCTATATAGATTTTACAATGATGTGTGTTTAAAATTTTTTCTTGTCTGTGTAAAAGAAAAAAATTAATCAATTTCTTATGAAAAAAATAAGCGTAGGGTATTTTCCAGGAAACACAAAAATCATTTAAATAAAAAATCACATAGGAGTTATTTCATTATAAACGATTTATAGTTGGTAACATATAGGACCGACGGTTTTTCTACGACAGAGAAGATACTAAATAGTAAATAGGAGTTATTTAATAAACCATATTTTAATGTAATATATAACACATAGGAGAATTTATTTGTTATTTTTCACTAATTCTACGATACAGATAGCACATAAGAGATTTTATCCATAAACAACTTATTTTTTCTGAATCCAGAGATACTAAAACCTCAAAATCATAAATTTTGCCGATATAAGGTCCGGTGATTTATCACGCTCGAAGAGTGAGCTTTCCCAACTTGTTTATAGCTCAGGATTGGAAATTTAAAATAAGGTATTTCATAAATATTTCTAACTGTAACCAAAAAATCTAAAAGTTATATGAATACAGTATTTTTAAATTAATATTTTAAGTTCAAATTTTAACGAAATTAGATATTTAAGAGGATGCTACATTGCTATACCCATGCATTTGTTGTCTCCGTCTTACACACCTACGACTTAGCAAATTTTCGTTCTCTAGTTTCAATAGTGTACTGTTAGTTTTGATATTAGAGTGATTTGTCCTATTATACATTTTTTAGATGATAACATTATCTGTGCTTAAGCTTTGGCTTTTATTCGATATTTTAATTTTCAAAAGAGATAATATGAGCGTTTTTATTTTATAATATTTCACATACCTATATCTAAAAGTAAATGAATATTTCGAAAAATCGGCAACGTTTAAGCACAGATAATGTTCTGACCTAAAAGTTTTATAATAGTTCAATCCACTCTAGTGTCAAAACTAACAGCACACTATTGAAACCATATAGTGAACGACAATTTGCTATGTCGTGCGTGCTTAAGACGAAGACAACAAATGTATGGGTAGCGTCCTCTTAAACGGAGAATATTATTATAATTTTAGTTGTTTTTTTGGAAATTAAAAATATTTTTTGTGGGTAGGTATTTGAATCTTTTAAAGTAATATATCATACGAAATTTTTTCGATAAAAATTAATTCAACAAACTGTTTCACTAACTATAAAATAAACTACTTCATTAGCAAAAATATCTTAAAATATATTTAATAATATAGGAAGACAGTTGTCTTCACTCAGAATTGTTTACCATATATCTACCTACGTTAATTGTATAACATTGAATTCAAATGTAACACATCCATTACAGTGACCCACACAGTAGATGTGGACGGTACCCGCCTTTTTACTATTAATCATAATAAAATAACTTTGCAGACTTATATAGTTATTAAAACATCTTCGATATAATATAACTATCATTAGTCATTACCATAACACTTAGTTATTCTATAAAAATATCTGGTGTCAAAAAAATGTATTTTAGAATGTTAAGTTTAAAATTATTATCAAACAACAACACAATACGTCATTATATAAAAATAATAGTCAATTATATAAAAACTAGAAGGATTACTGCTGTACTTGCTACAGTCTGTATTTTTTTCAATAGCTTGGATCCGTTTATAGGTACAGACATTATTGATGTTAGATAAAATACAGAAAAATAATATAAGTGAAAAATATTTTATTTATATTTTGACTAACAATAGAAAGTTATACAATATACATTGATGAACATTGAACATTATATTATATACATGGACAAATTGATAGGTCTTATAAAAAAAAAATGGGACATATAAATAATACCCAAATAATATTACACTATTGTGTCGTGTATACTGTATATACAGTATTAGGTACGTATTAACATAGTTCTAATGTATTAAATATATAGTATTTTAACGGTTAAATCAATATTGATACGTATAACCGTTAGAACTATATCTAGTTTATTTATATTTTTCTTTAAAAATGATCGAACACGACAAAATTATATTTTCTTAATGTTTCCATTTTATTATAATATAGAAAAAAAATCAATTAAAGTAAAAAACAGTACATAATATTTGGACTCGAGTGAAATGTGACTAGATTAAAGCTTGAGTTAATTTAATATCCACTGCTTCCGTGATGGTAATCGTGTTCTTCATGGTGTCCCTGGTGTTCATAGTGGTGTTCGGGCTGGTAAGTCTTGACTGGATATGGTACTTTTACTTCGACTTTGACGGGAACTTTGACTGGATATGGGATTTCCTTGACCACTGGATACGGCACTTGCTTCTCGACCGGATACGGGATATTCTTCACCACTTGTACGGGGTACGGGCGGTCGACGGGAACCTTAACCGGGTAGTGGACGGGCTTTTCGACAGGGTATGGTACGATCTTCTCAACAGGCACGTGGACAGGGTAAGGGCGGTCGACTGGTACTTTGACTGGTACGTGGACAGCTTTCTCGACTGGGTACGGCACTCGCTTCTCGACGTACACGGGGTACGGTTTGTCTACGTGCACGGGATATGGGCGATCCACAGGTACCTTGTAGGGTACGTGCACTTCTTTGACCACGGGGTATGGATGGGGCACTGGAACTTTGACGGGATATGGCTTTTCTACTTGCACAGCGTACGGTTTGGGCACTTCAACGGTGTACGGCCTGTCAACTGGAACGGGAACCTTGACCGGGTATGGGTAAGGTTTGGCTACTTCCACAGGGTATGGTTGTGGCACATTTTTGGTTATGGTCTTGATGGGCACGTGATGTTGGTACGATGATTGTTGGTGGCCACCGTATGCGTATTCTCCACCAAAGTCAGCACTGAAGTCACCGTGTTCAGCATTGAAGTCACCATGTCCAGCACTGAAGTCACCGTGTCCGGCACTGAAGTCAGCGTATCCGGCACTGTAGTCAGCGTGTCCGGCACTGAAGTCACCGTGTCCATAACCGCCACTCGCGATTTCCGAGCCGCCAAATCCGTAATTCAATTCAGATACGCTTCTCTTAGATTGGGATTCGTCTGCTTTTGTGTTCTTGGCCGGTTGTTCTACTGCCAAGACGTAGGCACACAGCGCGAATGCGCACGCAGAAAACAATACTACTTTCATCGTATGTGTGTTGATCGCAGACCTAACTGAATGTGAATGGTGATCAATAATGGGTGTCCGGTGCTTTTGTAGTGGATCATCATTGCCCCCCAGTATAGTAAACCAACCCGGTTATTGCTCCCACCAGTGGAGTGTTCGAATTATGCATTTGATATTTACGTATCATCTTTATTACGTATTTCCATATCTTGAAGCAAAGTAGTTTTATGACAATTTGAAAACAAAATGTTTTCATCCTGTCTTAAGCAACTACATTCACTTTTTTAAATTTATTATTTATTGTGTCATATCAAATATAAGTAGTTTTCGAATTTTATATTAAGTACCATCTGGTCATGATTTAAAGAAAAAGTGAACTTGTTCACTATTTACTTTGGTATCATATTTAATTTAAAATATTGGTAACAATTTAATAAAATGATATATATTTAGGGGAGCCGACTACCAAATACAAGTCACGACGTTGTTTTCATTTAGTTGCAATACTTCCTCACTTGCCTTGTTTTTTTTTTTTGCTAATTCATCAAGAGTGTTTTGTTTACGATCTTGTAACATCATGATTAATTTCCAGTAATGACCAAAAGTCCAGTTTTTCTCATGTTGAAGAAGCTAATGCGAATTGTATACGTTTAAGTGCAGAAATATAATAATTACTATTTCATTTTTTGCTATATAGAAATAAGGGGGTTATATAAATTCGGGGGCCTTGTGTTAGTGCACCACACATGCGTAAATCAGTGCTTTGAAAATCTGCATTTACCAATTAAAAATTATATTGTAATATTTTACACGTTAATCTTAGAAAGAGACGTGAAAAATAAATGTATTGTTTGTGTGTTTTTAAAGTCGTTATAATTATTTATTTATTTAACATTTTACAGGGAAAGCCGTTTACTTGAGGATATCTACAATAATAATCTAGAAAAACTAAAAAAAAAAAATAGTTTAGATTAGATAGGTACTAAAACATAATAATGTGAACATAATATATAAAGTATAAATAATGAAATACTAGTCTTAAAAAATATATAAAACTTTCGTTCTAGAATATTCACAGGACATAAAAAAAATCGACATCATTACAAATTGAAGTACACAAATAATATGCTCTCGGAAAAAAAATTAATAGGTACAACTTTTGTTTTCATAAAAAGGTAAAAAATATACTTCTTACTTAATAAATCAGAACATTCGTTATTATTATTAAGACGATCATAAATCAATAATAAATAAGAGATCCTATAGCTTTTACGTCTTGTCGTATACATATTTTACACACGACAGGATGTAAAATATATAGTGTCTGCTACTAATGAAAAATCGTGTCTGAAAATTAGTAGGTATATATATATAATAATAATAAGAAGAAGAAGAACTTTATTTCAGAAATATTTAAATACCAACAATAGATACATTAAGAATTTTATTTGCAAGATGATTTTTGAACCAATCTTTAAGTAAACTTGTTTCAGGGTGCTGGGTGGGTGAAATTATACTTTACAGTATGATAATATACGGTAAATATTATACAATTCAGTAAAAATAATACTTGTCAAAAACAAACAATATGTTCATACATTTTATCTTAAATTGAATATTTAATAATATATTAATATAATTTAAACGAAAATCAATGGACTTTAGAAATCAATACTGAATAATATTGTCAATCCGTTTATTAGTCGAATTCTGACCAAAAAAAAAATGAGCCAAAATCTGTGTAAGAACTAACATGGGAGAAATATAGTTATTTTAGTGCATCAACATTTACAAATTCCTTATAGTATTCCTTCATAATTAATATGAAATCCAGCATTATGTTAATATACATTTGACTTATAATAATAGATAATTTTTTTGTCTACTGACATTTTCAATTACATTGGTTTATTTTTACGAATTTCTACCTAGTTTTTCATATGGAGAAATTTATTTATAACAATTACAATGAAATTATATTTTCGAACTGTCTAAACAATTTTGAAATGCAGTAGGTATGTTGTTATAAATTAATTAATTTTATTCGAATAAATAAATTGACTCATAATGCGTATTCCAAATTATTTAGATGCCTGACGTTGAATTTTCATGTTGATAATTTAACAGTTCTATTATACACGCGTTGTGTAAAAACACGGCCGAAAATTCGATACTATTGAAGGCTAAAATAATCATTTTTGGCATATTATTATTTTGATGTTACAAAATGAGTTACGATTGTTTAATTAGTCTCAAGTATTGAACGCGTAAGGTGGTATTCAGATTTAGGTCAAACGACGTAACTATAAAACAATGTACAGCAGTAGCGGTATAATAATAGCTGTACCGTGGTGGATTTGTGTGAAAGTATTATTATAGATGATGGGTTAATTATTTAATTGTGTGGAATTTATTATTAGTCATTAGTTACACTTGCATACGGATATTCATATATATATTGCACGATACAAGTCATGGTGTAACAGTATTATATACCTGAAGCCCAATTAGGGGTGACTATATCTAATTATTAGTTTGACTTGAAGGGTAGTATTCAGAGGCCGCCATAGGCCCACCACTCCCCTAATGGCTCTAATCGAGATCAAATTGTAGGTGGTACAATTTTAATCGAGTCTGTTTACGTAATCGACCGAGTTTGAAAAACTCAATTATTATCGATATATATCAACATTAATGTTATAATACAATGATTTAATTGCGTGTTAATACTAGAAACAAGAACAAACATAATATTATTATTACAGTCGATTTTGGTGAACTCGTTCAGGAATGTAGTAGGTACGACGAGTTTTCAGCTAGTGACGGTTTTCCAGCACATAAAAATATAAAATACAGCTTATAGTTGTCATAATAAACACCTAGAAAGTTCCATTCAAATAAAAAAGGTACCTACTATTTTATATTTTAGATCTTGAGCTGAACGATAATATGGGTTTTTTTTTAATTTTTTCGTCTGTCATCAGCTTTTGGGACAGTAAAAATGTTTCAGTATTTTGTTCGATGGGAAAGCGAATAGAGTATTGGTGCATTCGGGAGGTTAAAATTATCAGTAGTTTTCAAAAGCGCCGGGAAACACATAAAAAAAATTTAAAAAAACGGGAATTTTTACGCAAAACCGGATTTCGAAAAAATCGATTTTGGTTTCTGTTGCAACCATAAAACAAATGACCTTAGATACATCCAATTATCACTGGATGTTTATATTAGAATTTTCTATACAAATAAACATTTAAAAAATATATCGACTGGTTTTGAGCTGTTAACGGACATTTTTAGTTTCCAATTTTTTATAAATGTCAATAAAATTGTTGGGTAAAAAAGTTGACAATTTAATACAAAGACCCTAATAAATTGTTACAATGACAGATGAAAAATATTAAAAATACATCGTCACAATTTTTTTATAAACATTTAAAGTTCAAATTTAGATAAAATATAACAAATTTTAAATTTATAAATGATTTTGTAGTTAAAAATGTATAAAATGTTCAACTTTTAAAGCTGAGAATTAAACATTTAAAACAACGTAGGTAAGTTAGGCAATTCTGTAACCAAGAGTTAGAGTTATTTTATGTTCAAATTTGGAAATTGCATATATTACATAACCTACAAGAACAAAGTTTTTAATTATTATTTTGTAATTTTATAATATTAATTTAACTTTCCGGCTACCGTATTAATAATAACTGTTAATAACTAATAAGTAATAACAGTATAAATATAATATAAAATATCGTAGACTGACAAACCGTCTCAGCTCAGAATCGTTTTCGTATATAATGATGTTATATCATTTAATTCAAATTTAATACTATCCATTACAATGATCCACTTGTAACCTACTGTACAGCAGAGCGACATCCACTTACCTACTTTTTTAGTACTTTTTATATTTTATGTCCAATACACCGGATTTTCGTGTGTTTTTAGATTTGCAGATATATGACTCATGTTTTTATTGATGTTTCATTCATTTTAAAAACCACAGCAGACAAACTACCTTTTGATACTAGACTATAAAATCTAGTATACCTATCATAAGAGTCACTATCATTTGAGTCACGTTTAAATGATAGTCACATGATGCACAGGTTAGCTGGGATTTTTACCGACGTTATAGCTTGTTATGTATTACTATTCGGCAAATTCCCATCAAGTATTTTACTCTCATTTTGGTGATTTAGTCGATTTCAAGATTTCGTTTTCAGACACTTGCTCTCCGATCTCGAACATATTTTTATAAACGATGTATGGTATATGGGCAATAATTGTCCGGTAATTTATGTATCTTCGGCTATTTATGCCATGATTACCATCAACTTTTTTTTCTATCTATTATAATTTGTTACCAAAAATTATTATATAATATTGATGGAAAAAACAAAAAAATAATTAATTTTATATTAATTATATTATTACATATTTATGATAATCTGAATATTCTAAAACTATGGTAATTAACTATATTAAATGATATAATATAATATTCATCTAATGTAAAATTAAAAAACAAATATATTCTAGAATTGTATTAAAGTATTTTTATATTATCCTATCACCTTCTAAATTTAAAAAGACAATTATCAATAGGAAATGCCACTGTTGCACTTATGTACTTAACGCCTCAAATTGTATTACATATTATTATCATTGATTAAAAATACTATTTATAATCAATGATATTATATTATAAATAATTTAAAACAATATTTTAAGAACGATAGTAAATACATACCAAATATTTATGGATGGTCTATGCACTTGTTTGCAGCTTTTGCAAAATAAGTAAAAGCAAGTGCAGGAAAGCTAACAGACTGCAATTCTAAGTGTAATTCTAGTAAATCATGTAAAAAAATAGGTAAATAATATAATACTTACCTACAATTTTAAACGTAATAACTTATTTATTTATATGTTATGGTGTTGTTCCATCAATATCTAGTAAGTATATAATTATTATCATAATATTGTTCTACAAGATTTATAAGATAATAATAATATAATAAAATTAATTATTGTTTTAAGATATCCAGAATATAATACAATTGTCATAAATCCTAAATTCATTAACTATTTTATTTTTATTTTTCCATCAACATTATATTATAATAAATGTAATAATACAATTACTGCGCAAAAATAATTCGCTCGTATTCGAGGTTCAAATTTCCCGGACAGGACCAAATCGACCGGGAAATGTGTATACATTTCGGTACCATATGCGTATATAGGTAATAACAATGTATTGCAATATCTCTTACGTAGTTATCTACCTACGTATAATATTCGTCAATAATATAATATCGTCGAGCCCTGAAAATATTTTAAATCCATTGGAAGCTCGTACTTTCGCACACTAAGTAGGATTGTCTACTCGTACACATTATAAGTACGAGACATCCACGACTCGCATAATATTAATATGTCATTGCGAAAGGGGTTGGAGGGGGGAGGAATAATATGGCTATCGCCGCGTCTTTATGCACAGCGATATCGTACGGGAAGACGACTTTATGTCATTAAAACCTTCTACGATATAATATATAATATTATGTACAAATATATATATATATAAGTACGTACGGTGCTCACGAGAAGGATAAGTCGTGTGACGGGATTTCGACCTACAGCATAATATAATATAATACCATTACACAAACGTTTGGTTCGCGACGAAATCGAGAGTTCGCTGGAAATGAAATTATTACTCGGTCGACCGTCTTCGCCGGCGTCCCCTCGCTGTGAACTAAATAATAATAATATATTATTATGATATTGTAAGTATATATATATATACGCAAATGAATCCGTTTATAATGAGTAATGACGTTCCTGCGAGAGTTTGGATAATATTATATTATATGTCGTCTCAAACGAAATAATTTCTTCATTATTATTATCGTTATTATTATTACTATCATTATAAATATTGTATTATATAATATTATTATCGTCGTCTTCGTCGTCGTCGTATAATATACGTTTAGTCGAAGGAGAAAAAGCTTTTGAAAACTTTTTTTCCACGTATTATATGTACCATCGCACTAGTGTGTATCGTTAGGTAGGTACATATTATAACAATATCATAATATCGTCAGAGTCGCGAGACGAACTTAAGTCGACGTACGAGTATGAAGAATTTTCGAAAATTATTTTTGTTACTGATGATGATGGTCTTACCATATTATAGACACATACGACATACCTAATGTATAAATATATTATTATATAAGCGTAAAGGTACACATGTCATATATAGGTATATAGTATATATAGGTACCGTGATAATACATTTTACGATGATATATCGTTGCAATTTTCGAATCGTTATATTTTTATTAAGGACCGAGCAGAATAGATTTAAGTAAAAACGTAATTCGACGTTTCGTGCGATAGTTTTATCATTATAAATTATTTTATAGCGTATAAGTATAATTTGTTGCGAATGAGAATCATAATAATAATTCATTGAGTTCGCGAATCCGACAGCCGTCTCCATATTATTATAATATATAGTTTTACGTGTGTATTCATACGTTCCATTTCAGAATATTGAATAGACCAGTTTGTTTTGTAACCATAATATAATACATTAAACATGATAATGACCCGTTCTCGTAACATATAATAAAATGATTACTACACACCATCGGCTGGATGATATCATAGATTATATCGAAGGGTGTTGTCCACGAATGTTCTTTATTATTCAACCGATATAAACACCTATTATAGGTAAGACAAGTTTTTTTTTATTTCACTTTTGCGGATTCTATATAGACCGTTTCGACAGCCGCAACGATCGTCGTCGTTAAACAGTGGAACACTTGACGCTCTATAAGCTAAATATTTTTATTAATATTTTTGTTTTAACTATACAAACTTTAATGCATAAAATGATAGAGAAAAAATAAGAATTTTTTAAGACAAAATATTATATATTTTATATACTACACGATATAATAATATTATAATAATATATTATATCGTTTATTAAATTTGTCACAATTTTTATCAACATATAATATTATATATTGTATTTTTACATAATATTTGTAAACATAGTTTTAATTAATATAACGTATATTAATAAAAAATGTAATTAAAAAAAAAAATGTATACATAATATATTGAGCTTAGGTATACGAATAACACGCGCAGATATTGTTACGTCGTCGTTCATATAAAGTTATATTCACGTCGCGTGCGTATTAAACTATCTTTGTATTAAAATAATATTGCAACGGCCCAACAAAGTTGATACAACCGTATGGTGAAAACTATCGAGATCTTTTTTTTTTTATCCTTTTTTTCGTTTTTTTCCCTAAGAATTATTATAGATATTGAACACGAAGAATATGATGATATAATAATAATATTGCAGTTCGTGACTAAATTGTTTTTTGATTACGCGCCATCGGACGAATATATTTGACCTGATGGCGAATTTGATTTGGCTCGACAAAAATTTAAAAAAAAAAAGAACGATGACATTATTATATTATATATTACGCGCGATTAATATCTGGTAACTTGGGGTGGAAGAAGGGGTTGTATATGGGGGGATGGGTGATGGTAATGGTGACTAGCTGCTTACGACGGAGTCACGTTAGTATCCGGAGCTGCCGTGATGGTAGTCGTGGTGATCGTGGTGTTCGTAGTGGTCGGGTTGGTATGCCTTGACTGGGTATGGGACGGCAACGGCCACCTTGTATGGCACTTTGACGGGATATGGGATTTCCTTGACGACTGGATACGGCACTTGCTTCTCAACTGGGTATGGGATGTGCTTCTCGACTGCTACTGGGTATGGACGGTCAACGGCCACCTTGACTGGGTAGTGGACTGCCTTTTCGACTGGGTATGGTACGATCTTCTCGACTGGTACATGCACTGGGTAGGGACGGTCGACGGGCACCTTGACTGGGTAGGGGACGGCCTTCTCTACTGGGTATGGCACTTGCTTCTCGACGTACACTGGGTATGGCTTGTCTACGTGCACTGGGTACGGGCGGTCGACGGCCACCTTGTAGGGCACTGGAACCTCCTTGACGACTGGGTATGGATGTGGCACTGGAACCTTGACGGGGTATGGTTTTTCCACGTGTACGGGGTATGGCTGTGGCACGTCAACGGTGTATGGGCGGTCGACTGGAACGGCTACCTTGACGGGGTATGGGTATGGCTTGGCTACCTCAACCGGGTATGGCAGAGCCACGCTCTTGGTGATGGTCTTGACTGGCACGTGGTGTTGGTATGATTGGTGTCCACCGTATGCTGAGAAGGAGTCGTGTCCACCAACGGCGTATGCGTCGTGTCCACCGACGGCGTACGAGTCGTGGCCGCTTAAGTCAGCGTAACCGCCTCCGTAACCACCGGACGAGATGAGTCCGTGTCCGTAACCCGCGGACAGGATATCAGCGTGACCGCCACCGAAACCGTAACCGGTGTCGAACAGACTTCTCTTACCCTGGGCCTTGCTGTCGGCCACGGCTTCGGTTTTCTTGGCCGACTTGTCGTCGGCGGCCAGACAGTGAGCGCACAGCGCAAATGCGCACACGGCGAACAAAGTCGATCTCATCGTGGTGGGCTGTGTTTGTCGGACTTGGCGATCGTGTGGTGGATATAGCAGCAGGTACTCGTCTCGGCAGACCGGACTGGACGTGAGTGTTGCTCGATCGTCGGCGTCCGCCGGTTATGTAGCGAACCGCCAAGCCACCACCACCGGCACCGACCCGGTGCGGAGGCCGGTTTTTCGCTCCCACCCCACCCCTCCCGTCGCACAACGACCGACGGGCAGACCTACTTTCTATATAGGTACACCCGCGGTTCAGTGTCACATGTTATTACTATTATTTAATAATTTACTCGACGACGACGACGACGACGACTTATGTAGTACGCGCGTATACCAGCCATACCAGCTCGGTAGCAGCACGTAAGACCACTCTTGTTTTTACTTCTATTGGTTTCGATTTTTTCCTGCCGCCGCCGCCGCCGCAACGTGCAGAACGGGAAGAAATCGAGATTTGTACGTCAAGGTCGACGGCGGCCGGCGGACGCGCACTCGTCGCTATCCGCGCACGAATATCATATTATTACGTTACTTTGTTGTTGTTGCTGCTCCGTTGTTGTTGTAGTTCCGATGGCATACCTGTCGGCCATCCATCCGATATTATATCATTGTTGTCGCGGTCGTCTCGTACGGGCACATCGAATTTCGTTCGTCGAACCGACTTTTTTTGGTGCACTTTTGTACACGGCAACAAGTCGGTGTCACATGTTATAAATTATAATAAAATATCGTTTCATATGACGGTAAACGGTGTAGAGCGCGTACCGTCGCAGTAACTATTCGATTTTTAATAAATATACCAAATCATATATTATGAGTGTTCCAAAGATTTAATAATATTTATATTTTTTTTATATGACATAAAGTTATAGTATTTTTGATTTGATGAAATCAAATTTTACTCATTTTTTAAGTAGAAAATGTTAATGAATTCATTAATAATGCATCTTTTTTTTCGGAGGATATTATTATACCTAACAAATTGAATATTAAAATATAATTATAAATAATTTTAAGAGGGATGTGGTGGAAGAGTCCGTGAATTGGAAAGTGTCTCAAGGCAATGAAAACCTATATATGGCACTGTATAATAATATATTAATATGCACTTTTAGCATTTCGTCGGTTATTACGACAACTCACAATACGATTGGCAGCAGAGCTGCACGGTCATATAGTGAGCGTTCTCATCATTTGTTCGGCGAAAAAGTTTCCTACGTGTGTATGCATAATAATATGTTTTAATAATAACGATAATATAGTATTGATAAACGAGAGAACGGAACAACGTCCTTAAATCTCGTGCCAGCGCATATTCATCCAAAACACGCGACCCGCAGGCATATTTGGGTGTACTTGGAGTTATCTCCTCGTGAAGGTCCTCGAAAGAGAAAAAGCCCTATTTCCGTTTTCGAAACATCGATATTTGAGTGAACACGTGCACAGCCCTCGAAACTGGGAAGAACGTCGGGGTGGTAGACCGTTCGACATGTTCCCATAATTATAGCATAAATATTAAATAATAGCGATATTTCATTGGTAAGGTATAACTATATAGGTATTAAGTATACCTATCATACGGCGGCTAACGGAATTGTGGTTACCGTATAGGCATGTATCATAATAATAATTAATAATATTTACCAATATCGGTAGTAATAAATTAAAATTTCTAAAAAATTCAGCCAACGCAGTGAGCGTAAAATAATTGCACATTATAATATTATAAGCACGGGTGCCTATGAATACACACCGACAAAAAAAAAGGATCACTAATTCATAGTTCATCATCTAAGAATATTCATAGTCAGAGATAGTGGAGATGGTTGAGATGCAGATGGTTCGGCGAACTTACGTAGTCAAACGTGGGCGACGAATGCGAAAAGGCGAGGAAATTCCTACGAGCTCGTAGCTCGTACCTCTGTCAGTATAATATTATAATATTATCATTATTATTTTGAGTATAACGGGGTCCGTGTCCGGACCCTCGTGTCTCCGGCTGGGGAGGTATGGCGAGGTGCGGGCGCAGTAGCATATACATATAATTTGTGCGCTCCTTTATTAAAATAATTCGGCCGCTGATTGACAGACGGCGGGGGTCGCAGTTCACCCCAACCCATCCCACTAGCCCACCCCCGCTGCAGTTATTCGATTTGCAAACGCTCTGTAGTATATAATATTATGTACACGTCACATTATGCGCTGCCGAGGGTTTTTCTTTTTTCCCTGCAGACGCCGAGCCGCTATTTCCACGCAGGCCAGGACTCGAGATATACTATCTGACCGCGCTCGTTAGAATCCGATCGGTCGGTCGTGGTGACTAATACCTGCTGCAGCGGCAGTTTGATGACATTACCGCACGCGCCGCTGTTTACACGGCGAGACCTCTTCGACTTCGACCTGCTCCTCTATACGTGTGAGGCCTTCGCTATCGCCCCCTCCGGGAGAAAATCATATTATTAAATTGCGCACCCAGAGCGTGGGACGTCAAATTTTCGGAAAAATCACTCTCGTAGTAGGTGCACGTATGAATAATTCACGAAAAATCCCCTCGCCGGACGGCATCACGACTCGGTGATTAAACCCACTGCCGGGCGTCGCACCGGTCACCACTGGTGATGACGAATAATAGGTAATATAATATAATGATATTATATTATATATATGCAGTATGTATTCCCGATGTGTTTATTGTATTGTTGTGTCAAAAGAACGAGCAGTGAAATTAGCCATTGCACATCGTATAATATATTATTATACACGAACACGCGTGTTGTTAGATTTCGACCAATGTTGTGTAAATTGTAACAGTATTATGTTATTATTGCACGTGAATTCATTTTCTACGTGACAATTAAGTAATAATGTGTGAAAATTACTCACGACTCTTATTTTAATGGCAGCTACACGGAATTCGTATGCATGCATTTGTATTGCTATTGAAGTCTGAAATACTGAACGGTTAACAGAAAATAATTTACTTAGGTATTTTCCTAAGCTAAATAGGTACGTGATTAATTAAAATTGGCTTTCGTGATATTTAAATTTTAAATCTATTCGATATCTTACCGTTTTCGAGTAATTTCATCATATAGGTATATTATCAAGTTGTGCTTCTGTGCTAATAATATATTATACAAATGAGCCTCAATATTAAGTAATGATATTTTTAAATTTTATTACAAATTTGTTTTAAAATGAAAATAAAATATTATTTCTGTAGCAACACAAAACTAGACATTTTATATGTGTATAATAATTTGTTTCGAATAACATATAGTGTAAATTGTACTGCAACAGTAATTAAAAATTCTTTGTTCATGTATTTTTCGTTTTTACACGGTCATAAAAACTGCCCTCATAAATTGGTATATTTTATAGTAGGTTAGGTTACCTACACGAAGTATGCCGGGGCCTAAACGTATATTACGTATTACTATATTAAAATAGCTTTTATAGTTTATGCCGTCGGTGAGTGCTGCAGCCAGCTAACGGTTATAATAATATTATTTTACAAAGCGATTCTTTTTTCACTCGTCATTTCGAAAAGGTACATAATAAGATATATTTAAGTATATATAGATATAGTATTGTAATAAATAATAATAATGAAATGTAAATATGACTTACTGCGTCCGCATCAGTCATTGTGGCGAAGAAGATCGCCCGTGTCTGCATTAATTCTATATATTATTCTAATTCTTCATAGGCATTTGGTTTTACAAAGTCTGTGCCCTTTGGCGCTGCTGCCCGACCGACCGTCGCGACTACGTAACTCGAGGTGCATATTTTATTATTTATGTCACCTATATTCGTGCTAAAGTCATGGACCCTGGTGGAATCTATCCATATACCGTCGCCATACTTTTCACCATATCGGGTTAAATTTCTATTGCAATTGTTCTACATTTTTATGTAATTTTCGCAACAGGTCAGCAGAGGCTGCTGGATAATAATATTATAATATTATGGCATGACATCGATATTTTGCCGGATTGTGTTACACATTCTGAGGTTGACCGTTTTATCTTTCTTCTCGGTCCTTGTTTGGTGTTATAAAATATCATAATATATAATAATATGCATGTGTATAGTGTATCATTCTACTTTAGTTACACTTTTTATCCTCACAGTTGACCTAGAACCCGAGAAATTAACGTTTTATAGAACTTTTTCTAATTTATGTAATAACATTATGTATGTACATTGTACACATTAGTATTATTATTATTAAATATACAGAACAATAATTATTGTCGACTTATTTCATTATGGTGTTTCTCATTCACAACCAGTATTATAAGTAAGTAGACGTTTTATTTATTTGGTAAATCGTCATATATGCACGCGATGTACATTTACTCTCAGTCAGAAGTCATGTATCACATTTTCTGTGTGCACTGTGAGTGATTAAAATAATATTTGATGTAATTTAAAACCTAAAATTAAAAAGTCATAAAATATGTGAAATCGCTTATTATTAAGGTTAAAACCAGACAATCCTGTAGATGTCCTCTGTGTACAATGTACATGAATGTATTTTATGTAGAATATATTTTATGTAATCCACTCGAGGACACGATCCAAAATAATGATTCGTTATTGTTATTTAATTACCATGATAAACAATCCGAAATAAGTTAAATATACGCTGGGTGCACACTGCACTGCACAGCGATAATCGGATTTCAGAATAGACGACGGCGACCATGTTCCATATGGTCCCAGTAAAAATTGAATTAATATATTATTATAACTCTTCCCGCCTTGGTTGAATTTGTGGGGACGTAAATAAAAAATATATATGTTTACCTTGTCAGTTTGATATACATTTCCTCGGTCACACTAGTTGCATAAAACCGGATATAATATATAGAGCGGTAAATGATTGAAAAAATATTTGAGAAAAAAAAATGATTTAGTGACGATCAAAAGAGAAATACGACGGTAGCTATAAGTATTACACACAGATGGATAATGTAAAAAGAAACCGACCCTGGTGAGTA